AACACCCTCTCCTCTGCCCTCCAGAGCTCCCATTTGTACCCAGTGGATTACGGTAGAGGGCTAATGGCCACACCACTGCCGGCCAGGTGATCCTTTGTACGGTGAAGCGAGGAGTGAAACGGAAATCTCGGGGAAATTATCTAATTTTCGGGCTAACTGGTTGTTTGAAAAGATGTAGGCAAGGCTAGATGTTGTATAGTCAAGTTTTAAAGGCACCTGGAAGTCAAAACCCCTTTAAACTGATCCAAACATACATTGAAAATGAAAATCGGGAGAAAGTCCCTAATTTTTAGCCTAACTGGATGTCAGAAGCGAATTTGGCTCGGCTAAATTTTGTTTTTTAAAGTTTTTTAAAGCTTTCCCCGTTTTTAAAGGAACCTAGAAGCCAAAAACCCTTTTTCTGCCTCCCTTCTGACTCCCTCCGCCCCTTTAAAACGGTCTAAACCGTTCGGCTTCCCCCTTTCAACCCTTCCCAATTCCATTAATCAGGGCTGACGCGCGGTTCAAAGCGGGCTTGGCTGGAGTCCGACTCCTCCTCTTTGAAATGGCCGCGACCAAAGGGGTGGGGTGGTCTTTTGGGGGCCAACCAGCACCCCGGGCATGGGAAATAGACTCTTCCTTCCTTCTGACATTCGGACTGTCATGAATGCCATTCGAATGGTGCGGGTCCTGGGAAAGGGATGGTTGATATTCAAATGGTGCATTGGCATTCAGTGGGGTGATGGGAAAGGGGCGATCCGGCTAGTTGACTTCCAAAGCTCTTGAAAGCCAGAGAAACGATAATTTTTTGTCGATTTCCGTCTGTTTGACTGTCAGTTAGTATATCTGACCTACAATCGCGGTTTTAGACCGTTTTTCAGTCATCGTATAGGTTATGCAGTTTTTTCAAAAGGTCGATTTGGTCATCTGTAAGTTATGCAGTTTTTCTCTCTGGCCGCCATTTCGTATTTTTTCTGCTACTGTCTGTCTGTCAGTCTGTCCCTCAATGTCTCTAATGTACCAACCAGCTGCTGTCAAAATCAGCCACCCCCATCCATGGCCCCGGGAATGAGATTATTGCGTGTGGGGGGTCGGCTAGCTAGTGGGTGTCCCCTCCTCATTCAGGATTCCTCCTCCTTCCACCCCATCCTGTCCAAAGTCTCAAAACACTAACGAGCATCAGCCAAAAGGGCCACAGTTTGGCTTGAGGCAGTCTGGGGCCCACTTCAGGCTTTTATGGGTCATTTTGTGGCGCCCCGGCGATCTGGGACCGGGGGTCGGGATCTGTTGTGGCCTGTTGGGGGCCAACATGTGTGCCCCGCGGGGCACAGCTGGGGCATAGCTGCAGATATTTGGGCATTAAAAGCATAAAAACTCGTCAGAGAGGCTGGTTTATAGCCACTTTAGCTTAACCGAATAAGATTTGACCGGTTTGTAAGCGAAACATCAGAAAACTGTGTGATATACCGTTATGCAGTTTTTCGGCATCCAAATCCTCGAAGCCTAAAAACACGTCAGGTAGACTAGGTTTCGATCGATTTGGGTTAACTGAATAACAATTGACCGATTTGCAAGCCTAAAATCGGAAAATTAGGTTATCCAGGTTAAGTAGTTTTTTAGTTAGAGTCAAATATCCTTTTTACAGCATTAACTGTTAGATTGGCATTCAGAAAACCATTTGTTTACTAGATTATAGTATCCCCAACCCAACTTCAACTTTCAAACCTCCATTAGTATCCCAGAGACCCTAAAAACTCCTCCAAGCCGTCAGATGCCCAGCACGGCCAAGATTGCGCAGATTTTCGGACCCAGCGGCTTGGCTTGGTGCCCGCTGGGGGCAAAGGGGAGGGGGTTCGATTTGTGTCGTTAATCGGTCACCCCATCGTCCACCCCAACTGGCAGGGGGCAGAATGAAGGAGGAGGAGGAAGAAGGGAAGGAAGGGGGATGGAGGGACAGCTGCCCATTCAAATGAGGGTTCACAGAACGAGCCACAGAAACAGAGAAGGGGGTGTTGGCTTGGTGCCAGAAAGGGTGTAAGGAGGGGTGTAAGGGACTGAGAAGAGAACGGGATACCCATCCCTTCCCCCCTAACAGATCCAAGATCCTATCTCACCACGTGATAAGCCCTCCCGTGCAGAGGATGCGGCCGTAATCGAAGCATTCCAAGGGGATTGCGGGATGAATAATGGGGCCGTAACATTCGAGAAGATAACACCGCAGGCGGTAGAGGATCATATAATATAGTCGGTATATCATAATGTGGTAAGGGAAAATAAGCAAAGGATTGCAACATGAAAGCTATTTTGGCAGTTTTGTCTGGTTTAGCGGCTTCTATGCTAGTTCGAAAAACCGCATAACCTATGCTGGCATCCATGGAATGTAAAAATTTGACTGGGAGATAGTCAATAGCCAAGCCAGTTAGTCCAGGAAAATCGTTTTCGGACCCGAATTTACAGAAAAAAAACTGCATAACTTAAAGCCGCTAAAATGCAATTGCCAAAAAATCCTATCGTATAGCCTGGTTGCCAATTAACTTGTTAAGCCGAAAAAACGTAGTACAAACTACAAATCCCTTATTTTCAGCTAATCTGAACCCCCCTGGGGGTAGTCAACAATTCCGAAAAACTGCATAACTTAAAGCCGCTTAAAATCGTGGCCTAACGATCCGATCTCTTAGCCCGGTGACCAGTTAGCGGTATCAAACCGAAAACTTACATTACAAACTACAAGTCCTCCATTTCAGCTGATCGGAACCTCGGTTGTCGCCCAGCACGAGCTCCCCCGTGTCCGCATCAACGAGCAGATCGGTGTGAATATCGGCTTCGGTCTGGCCATCGCCTTCGGCGTTGCCGTCTCGGCCAAGCTGTCTGGTGGCCATATCAACCCGGCCGTCTCCCTCATGTTCCTTTCGTTCGGATCTCTGAAGCCCCTCCGCTTCATCCTGTACACCCTCGTCCAGATTGCCGGAGCCTTCGTTGGAGCCGCCCTCACCTTCGTCCTCTACAACGGTTTGTGGTTTGAATTTTACTTTTTTTGGGAGAATTGTGTTAATTGGCATGGGATTAAAGCGGTAGTGAAGCAACAAAGTAAAAAAAATATGAAAACATGAGTTATGCAGTTTTTTGAAGAAGCTTCAAAAATAGCTTATTTCGACGATTTATGGAACTCGTCCTCCAGAACGGTTTGTAATCTGTGTTTTCGAGACTTTGTCACTAGATATAGCTAGCTGGTATTTAATTAAAGGGATAGTGAAGTCAAAAAGCGTAAATTATTAAAATCTTAGTTATGTAGTTTCTCAAAATTTCCTTGCAAAATCGGAAATTTAGGCTACGTAAAAAAAAACTTTAAAATGAAAAATATAGCTAGACCAACGAGATAAACGATAAATAACACTTTTAAACAGTATCCTCATTATTTAAAAATTTCAGACGCCATCAACAACTTTGACGGTGGAAACCACACGGTGGTCGGCGCCCACAAGACGGCCCAAATTTTCGCCTCGTACCCGGCCCCCCCATCTTGGAACTATCAACGGACTCACTGACCAAGTAAGCTAATTTTAATTACATTTTTACATTGAATTTCTATCTTCTGGCAGCCAAAAATAATCTCAAAATTTCCAGATCATTGCCACTGCCGTGTTCTGCTTCCTGATTGCCCACTTCACCGATGAGCGCCGCACCTCGTACCCCAACTGGGTCCGCCCCCTCCTTATCGGTTGGTTATGCAGTTTTCGGCTCAAAAATAGTTGTTATCGATTTTCTGACTTCTAATCTAATTCTATAAATAGTTTTTATAAATTTTCTATTAACCATTGGGGTTATTTTGGTTATGCAGTTTTTGGTTATGCAGTTTTTGGTTATGCAGTTTTTCACAAAAACCAATTTTTATGGATTTTCTGAAACCTAAAGTCCCTATTTTGAGGTTGTCATTGTATACTGCCAGCCAATGCACCGCATTATCGATATTTTCAGGACTTTCGTTTGTCGCCATCGGCACTGCCTTCTCGTTCAACTGCGGATACCCGTGCAACCCTGCTCGTGACTTCGGACCCCGTCTCTTCACCCTCCTTGCTGGCTATGGCGGTGAGACATTCACCTACCGTGGATGGTGGTGGGTCCCGATTGTCGGACCATTCATCGGAGCCCTCATCGGAGCCTGGGTACGTTTCAATACTCATTACTGACTGATAGAACGTCCTTTATGACAGCTAAAGTTTCTTAATATATCCTTTGTTTTCAGCTGTACCAGTTCACCATCGGATTCCACACCTCCATTGAGGTCCTCACCAAGTATGCCATCGTCGAGGGACCCAAGAAGAGCGAGCACATCAAGGAGTACGTTTTTGGGGTAGAGAAATAAGAAAAAATGTCTTAACATTTGGGACCGTTTTAAAGTTATGCAGTTTTCGAATCTGGACACCAATAAAGCCAAATTTAGTAAAAGTCGCAAAAAGTATATCGCGAGCTAAGGTTATGCAGTTTCCCATTTCAACCAATTACGCAACCTATTTATTCTATTTCAGGGAGGGTGAGCAGCTGGTGCAGTCTTAGATGCCTCGCCATAATGCCTGCCATCGTCTTCTGAATCTCCACAACGACCGTACTATACCGTATCGTATCGTATTCCCTTGCCACCTCCCCTGCTATCTCTCTCCCCACCTAATGATTCTCCCAAACAGACCCACCGTCTACAGTATGCTTTCCCAAGCTACCGTAGACTTTTCTGGTGGCCAGTTGGCATTTTTAACTTGTTAAAGTTGTCTTCTGACTTTCAGACACATCGGTCTGTCCCGAAAGATCTTTCCCCCTCAAAAAAGCTCTCATTTCTCAGCTACATCAGACGCCAAATGACAGCAAATTCCCCCTAATTTCCCTACTGTTTTTCACTAATTCCCCTCATCTACTGTTTTGTTCTGCTATCTGCGTTTTATCTCACGTAATAAAATTATTTTTTTACAAACATGCGTATAGAAATTTATTTGGCTCCTAGAAATACACCCGAAAAAGAAAACATTTTAGAGTCCCTTATTGTAGTACAGCTCGGTGGCGCGGGTTTTCTCGCGGAATTCGGGCTCCAGTTGGTTGACGGATATCTAAAAAACATATACTGGATAGTAGAGAAGGGATTAGTGATGAGAAATTGGCGAAAAGTTGGTTATGCGGGTTATGCAGTTTTTCAGAAAAGTTATGTAGTTTTTTCAAAACTCGCATTTTTGGCTAAACTAAGCTTACAAAGAGTTTCTGAAGATATGATTTTTCGATTTGTATGCTAGTGAAACAGCTTTGATGTTCAAAACTAAAAGAAACCACCAAAGAAGTCATGCAATTTGTCGGCAAATTACATTTTTTGATGAAATAACTCTCAGAAATTTTTTCTAGGGGTTGGAACTTACTGTCTGCAGGACAGTTAAGCTGCATTTGGTTTAAGATGCGGAAAAATTAGCAGCAAACTACACGACTCACCGTAGATTCCTGCGGGAACAGGGCCAAAGCGATTGGTAGCGAAATTCCAAACGAAATTGTGCAAACGATGGCGTTGACGAGCAGATGGCGAGTCGCCGATTTTTGAACCCAACGGAATCTAGATTGAAGGTCAGTTTATGAAATTAAATTTGAGTTTCCGGGTTCTGTAGTGCAATGAGTATCGTAACGTACTTCTCAAAAAATGGCATAATGCATGGAGGGAGGGCGAGGAGGGGGACCGGGAGGAAGGCACGGGTTAGCGCCGTGTCTGTTACTGCCTGAAAGTGATACGGTAGGTACGGTATTTTACTGAATTTATTGATTTTTATAATTAAGGAATTTTACAAAATTTAATTATGATTTTTATGAACGCCAACCTGTTTTACAGCCACCTTGCTTACACCAATTACCGTACCCTCACGATCGTACACCTAAAATTAAGGAAATAAATGCTTTAAATCAGCAGCTCGACTTCCTGGTGGCACAGTCCCCTTAAAAAGTCATACCTCGATTCCAGTCTGCATTTCACTGCCCCTCATGCATAGAACATTCAACGTGGGAGGCCAGTGAAGTGGCTGGCAGGGGGACAAAACTAAAAATGTCAAGCTATCACCATAAGCTAAAACTAAAAGCGCTACAAACTATAAACTAAAAACTACGAGCTATGTATAAACTACAGACTGCAAACCACAACCTCCAAGACCTTACCGTTGAATAATTAGGCGAGTAGCTGGGGGCAGAGATCCAGCCTTCTTGATCATATACGTCAAGCCTGAAAATCGAATTGTTTTTTTTATGAATTTTAATGGTATGTTTTTAACTTATTTTATGATCTAAGCGGGCAAACGAGCATCAGAAAAATACCTCCAGCAATAGAACAAGCCGATGTGACTGCAGCCAAATAGGCTCCCACAAATTTCGAGATGGGTTGCGGCTGGAACGGGGGACTTTCATGTCGTAATCTATTCTGGTGGGTGTTTTTAGCTTAACTGGATAGCAATTAGAGTATTCTGTAGTTGGCAGCGCAAAATCAAAAAAAAAACGATTTGGTATTTCCGGCGTCACTTACGAAAACAATTTTCATGGCGTAGCCGTATGACCAAAAAAAATCAAAGTCGTAGTTTTACATGTCGTAATCAATTGACTGTATAATTTGTAATTTTAACTGGATGCTAATTGGAGTATGATGTAGTTTGTAGCCTCAAAAAGACGAAATTAGGAGATTTTCGGAGCGATTCCCAAAAAAAAGACTTTCATAGCATAATCGAATGTCGAAACACCGGAAGAAGTCGGAAAATTTCGCTTGTATAATCCGTATTGTCTGCCAACTAGCAAAACCGCGATGTTAGAACCATCTTGACCTCTTGTAGTTTGTAGTTGAGAGCCATAAAACAAACCTGTGACGCATTCCTATTGGCATAATTGACACAGGCATTATGCGATTGGTTGATCCATTGCCAGAATAGGGAGTGTCGGCCACGACGGATTTGGCAACAACATACCAGTTACCTACAGAATACTGTCATACAATCACCCGGAATATTCTACCGTGATCCATCCAAACGGTACGTAACCGGACATTCGGAATGGGGGAAGCACTTTTTCACCCGTATCTGGGTGCAAGATGGCGCCTTTTATCTGAAAAATTAGATTGTAGTTTGTACTACATAATTTTTGCATTTTAAAGGGACAGTGACAGCAAAAAATTGAGCTTTAAGAGCCGTTTAACGCTCCGATACCTTTTGTGCCTCCCATAATTCCCTATCCGAAGCGAGATTCTTCTCCCCTGCATCGTACGCCTTCAATAATTCCACGCATTCCTTTAGACGACTCTAAATTCAAAATTAAAAAAATACAGCGTAAGATAAATACGTACGTCACTGGTTAATAGGGTCCGTGGATCGACGACATCAAGGTAGTGGAGGTATCTGGAAAATAGAGAGTTGAACTGAGTCTGAGAGCTTTTCATTTTGGCTGTCTCTGTCTCTCTCTCTCTCTCTCTCTCTCTCTCTCTCTCTCTCTCTTTCGGCACTGACCTGCCAAGAAATGTCTCCTGCGGAAAGCGGGGCTGATTCCGTTGGAATTTCGGGTATTCGGGAAACCCAAGGACTGTCGATTCTTCAGAAGACATTCTAGACAATCGAGAGATTTATCCATAGAAATCAATTATTTCAAGCTAAAAGGTAAAAGTTTGAAAGTTCAAGAAGGTGGAGGAAAGGTGCAAATTTTCGGGATTTAGAACGAAACCTCTTGGCTTGGAGGAGAGCAATTACCTTGAAAAGCCGCAATCTGGAAGAGAGAGAGAGAGAGAGAGAGAGAGAGAGAGAAAGAGAGAGAGAGAGAGAGAGAGAGAGAGAGAGAATGGACACGAGAAAGAGAACAAAAAACGACCGTAAAAATGGCCCTGCCCCTGCTAGGCAATCCCCCAAAAGCCTGGAGTAAGTTCAGAAAAACAAGCATTTTTGCGAAACTATGAATTACGCTTCAGCGGTCCTTTAAACGTGTTTGCCAGGTCGCAAAATTACAAAAGGACATTTTAAGTCTTTCAGCACATAGATTTCTTCTGGAATTTTCGCAAAATCATTTTTTAAATGCGAAAAATTAATATTAATAGTATTTCTCGAAAAATCCGACAAGGAAGACCGAATAGTATCCAAACGGCAGCAATAAAAACTTGGTGTCGGGTGCTATCGGGTTGATCTGAGAAAGAGACCCTTGGAGGGGGAAGGGTCATTGATTACGTGCTGGCCAAGTGCAGATGCTCTCTTCAATCCACCCGATCTTTCTCCATCCATGATCTGTCTTGCACACAAATGAGACACACCGCTCTTTCTCTTGCTCCCCAACTGAAACAGCCGAGAAAAAGTTCATGCTTTAGGCTTTTCTTCAGGCAAAAAAATAGAAAATTAAATTTTTTAAGCTTAAGGTATACCTTAGATATTGTCATTTTCGTTTTTGTGGCCTTTCTGGCAGTCATTAAATATAACTAGCAAGTTAAAACTATTTTTAAAGGGCCATTGAAGTCAAATTTCCACGATCACTTCGAAAAACTGCATAACCTGCATAAATTTTCCCGCTTTGTACTCTGTAGTTTACCATGTCCGACCAATCCATTGTTAGGCAGATAATGGATTTATGCACTCGAAAACGACAAAAACGACCCGTAGCTGTGTAAAAGTGAGAGATCTGAAGCGGTGGAAGTGGCACTGGGTGGAGAGAGGGCAAGGAGTATGGGAAGAGAGGAGAGGGCAGACATCTCAGCTGAAGGCGTCCCACGATAGCACCTGAAAATAAAGATCAGGTATGATTGCTAATTGGTTTTTTTTAGGAAAAAGGAGAGGAAAAAATGGCTATGTTTCTATAAACTGCATAACCTGCAGAACTCAAATAATGATTTTTGTGACTATTTACCTATTGATTAATTTAATTTGCCATCCAGGTAAACCTAAATAACCGGCAAAAACGTATTTTGTTCATAAGTTTGTTAATTGGCATACAAAAAGTAAAAATAACGTAATATGAAGTGATTCCTAATTCCAAAAAAATTCCGCCAAACTGCGAGCAAAAAGCTGCATAACCAAAATAATGGCTTCAGCGACTATTTTTCTATGTATTAACTTAGTTTGTGATCCAGAAAACCCTAAGCAGTCGCTAAAAAAAAGTATTTTATTTAATAATTGGAATACAAAAAGTAACATAACGAATTTCGGGGAAAATCGAGTGATCAATCGATTGAAGAGTAAAAAACGGCATAACTTAAATAAAAGACGTATGACCTAGTTGACGCTTAATTCCATTTGTTTTCCATCCAGTTAACCCAAAAATATCAATATCATACCTCATTCTCCATCAGCTGTCTCTTATTAAGAGAGTTATTATGGGTGGGCCTCGTGTTGGCCCGATAGCCCATTTCTGTGTAGACGCTCGAAGCACACGTCGAAGGCGCTTCGTTCTAAAAAAAGATTTCAGTAGCTTTATACTTTTTATGAATGACAGTTTAAAAAATAATATTTAAAAATTAAAAAATTATTATGATACCTTAAATTGCAAATTAATATTGGTCCTCATCAGCCTGCCGTTCAAGGCTTTCAATGGTCGATAGGCTGGTGTCATATAGAAGGCTCCGGGCTGCTTGCTTTCCGTCTTCTGCAGCTCGTTCCAGATTGATAACTGAAAAAAATCAGATAGTGATTATCATGTCGTAATCGAAAAGCCTAAAAGCCTCGAAAACTGCATAACTTACATCATCCTTGGTGATATAAATCGGATTGTTCATAATTACCCAGGTGACAGTCTCGTGGCAACCTGAAATACAGTAGCATTTTAGTCAGTTTGAGGGTTACGGTACCTGGAAATGTCAAAGAACCCTCGTAGGTGACGTAGTGTGCCGTACGGGGCAATAAAGCTGCTGGGTGGAAGCGGTGCAGGTGTGTTTTACTGCCTAAAATAAGATAGAAATGTAATTTTTTTAATGAAAATAGCTTACTAGTATCCAATTTAAAAATTTATAGGATTTCCAGCCCCTTCCAAAATCAAAAAAATGCGGCACTGAAGCTGAATTACCTTTATAAGTGACACTCTGACTGGCCACCGTCAGCCTCCTCAATTCTGGGTTTGTCGTCTTTCCAATCTGTAACTGGTTGCGTAATCGATTACGCTAAATAATAACGGTACTGGAGAACCAGTTATAAATAATCCCTCACATCGACAATAATCCCGATAGCCACAACTCCACGAGGTTGTGAGACGGCCTGGCTGAAGTTTGCGTACAGCTCGGCGTTGTAGGCGAGGAGTTGAAGCTGAAAAATAAATTGATGTTTGTCATTTTAGCTGAATTACAGTGGTTTAAAAAAAATTTATCTTCTTTGGGAGTTGTTTACCTCAGCTGGAAATCTCACTCGATCAATAGTATGTTCCGAGCCCTTCTCACCGCCTTCGGTTTTGCCGAAATGCACGATTACCTGAAAAAAAGCGATAGATTCATTTTAAAGGACGGGTAGGCTTAGAATTCCCATGGATTCTATTAACTGTCAAATCAAGAATCTATTTTGCAATTAAAATTCTATTGTTTGATTTCCATGTGGAAAATGAGGCACAAGCTGAAAAACCGCATAACCAAAAACTGCATAACCTAATTTTTGCGCTAAAGCGCCCCTTTTGGCCTTAATTATGTAGTTTGTGTTCCAGTTCAATACCTGGTGTAATCTGTATCGATACGGAGCCGCCGGTCCTTCCGTGATATTGATTGTCAACTTCGTGTCGTTCAAGGTGACGATTGGCAATTGGCCGATGTTTTCAAGTGTTGCATCGACCTAGAAATGTCAAAACTGTCTCAGATATATCTCCGAAATACACTTGATATATAGGTTTACAGTACCTGTACACTATCAACATGTACTCCATGTAGATGTGGATCATAGAGCAGTAATGCTGGATCGATATTCACAGGGCTCTGCATTTGACCCGTAGTGCACATACGCCATTCCCGATTCACCAAACCCCAGAAATCTGGGCCTAAAAACAAGATGTATTGATGGAAAATGATGTTATTTTGCTAACTGATACCCATCCGATCTATCGTTTATCTTTTGGACTCTCTTGTGTTTAATCTGGTCAATTTTTAGAGATTATCAAAAAACTGCATAACCTCTGCAATGACGTTAGCGCCCCGATACACTTTTAAATACGTTCCTTAACCATCAGTTAGTGGTTTCATAGTATAATTATTATTTACTGCGTCGTAATAACGCATTAATGAGAGCTATATATCGGGACACCAATATCGGGATTTTGGCCGTTTCTCGAGCCTGCTCTAAAAACTGCATAACTCTTTCAATGCCGCTAGAAGCGAACTTAAAGTTTTAATACACTCTCTGGCCGTCAGTTAAGAGTATTTCGTAATGATTTCCATTTTTTACGCCCTTACGCACCGAGTACGCATGGATATATGCAAGCGGTCATCAGCCATGGCAGCATCCGGGGAAGGGGCCACGCCCAATAGAAGAAGGGACGGTGCCCAGATTCGTGAGACCTTCAGATGGAAAAATAGATGATAAAATATAGAGATTTAATGAGTGTAAAAGATCTTAGGAAGAATACATAATTTCACCAATAATGGCAAAAATCGCGAAGGGTAAATAGAAAAAAATTCATTGCGTAAACGTTTGGTCCGAATTAAATTTAATTCAATTTTCGTAAATCTTTAGATATTTGTCTTTATATATAAATATATAACAAAATTATTTATCCAAAAGCGGACCAAAATTAAAAATTCATTGCATCAGACCATTTCATAGCGTAATCGTTTGGCAATAAATCGAAGGTGTATGTAGAAAATTGTTTCGAGATTTGCTACATATTGTGGAACACCCTCTCTCGTCTCTATGGCCTGATAATTGAGGCTATTTGAGAGTGGAGGGTATGGCCATGGCCCTCCCCCTCTTCCTCACCCCTCCACCCCAGCCATACCCACGAATTAGCATAGCTAATGTTCGTGCTCACACATTGGGCTCCATCAGGGCTAATCGCCCAATTTCTAGGTGAATCCCGGCAATCTGGAGGTCACAGCGTGGAAAATGGGAAACTACATAAAAGCAAATATTCAAAAAACTGAACTGCACAACTTCTGTTGCAAAAACTACGGCGTTCAAAAACTGCATAACTTCTCCGGCTATAAAAAGGATTTTATTAAATCCGGGGCAATCTACTGAAAAATAAAAGAATACACGTCCACAATGTTTAGCAGTTTAAATCCGGACACATTAGAATCTTGAAAACAATCAAATTTTCTCGAAATTTTATTTGGTGATTTTGGGCTCCCCAACCAGTTTTCACCGGATGCGAAGGAGAGCCTTTCAAAAATTGGAAATCCTGGGCCTCGATGGAGACCCGGAGTAAATCAACTGACAAAGGGGGTCGGACCCGGTCCCCTTTCAGGCGTGTCAGTGGGCCAGGTGGGGGGGCGAGTGGGAGCGCCAGGTCCTGCTGGACACCCGACGGGTCGGGACTGGCGTTGAAAAATCGCAAATAGTGACCTTAGCTTATCTGGCGTTTAATCTGCCTTAAAATGCAAAAACTAAAACATTATAACACTTTTATAGGTTATGCAGTTTTTGGCACTGATTGATCTGGTCTAGCCGCCACCGTCTGCGTTTTGATGCGAAAATACGGACCGGCAGGGGTGTAGTGGGGGTGATGTCGGTCCGCTCGAATCCAATTGGTCACACCTACCACAAGAAGGAGTGAAAAATAAAATGGATTTGAGGGGGCGGTCATATACCGAGAGAGCAAAAGAAACAGAGAGAAACCAATAAATTCCCTAATCCCTCTCGTTTCTATCAAAACTTTTGCATCCATTAACTCGCACATGACATGGAGGAATTAGGAAATGACGAAAATAGGGCTGGTTGAAGTGCTTCCCAAATTGGGGCGCCGCCAAGAAATTTGCGGGAATTGACACAAAAACGTCATTTGCTTCGAGAACAGCAAAATGCAGATTTTGGGCTGATTTACCTATCGTAATCGATCAGCTGCATAGCAGATTCGAGTTACAAATATTCTCGAAGAATTTCGGATCCTGAAAAACTGCATAACCTCGAAAACGGTGTTGCAAGTGCCTTACCTATTGTAATCGATAACCTGCAGAACAGAAAGTTTAAAAATAGACTGTGTAAATCCACAAAAGCAAAAATATCAAAACAATGAGGTAAAAACGGCAGATTTTTTAAAACTGCATAACTCAAATGGTCATTATTTGCGTGATTAACCTAACGTAATCGATAAACTGCATGCCAGAAACTACTAATATTACATAGAAAAGCTAAACCTAGCCAATTCTCATGGATAAACCCCGGAGAAGTGAATAGGTGCTAAATTCAGTGTCCAGGGTGAAAAGAGGTGTATGTGGCCTGGGGCAACCAAGTGTCCTCCCCTTCCCTCCCTTCACCACTCCTTTAGTGGATCCCCCTCCTCTGCGTCTTCCTATGAATTTTTCACTTCTTCCGCTCTCTCCCCACTCGATCCTTTTACCCCATTCCGTTTTTTACGAAAAGTGGTCGCGTTCGATGGCAAGCAAGGAGGGGAGTTATTTATTCAACCGTAAATCCGGTCACCCAAAAATCCCAGGAATTTTTCCTGGAATCCGCTCTTTTGGTAGTCAGAAAGGTGATTGGGGTTGGTTTTAAAGGGGTTGGACGCACTAAATTTTTGAAATTTTGATCTGCCCGGTCACTGACTCCTAAATAACCTAGATGTTTACTTTAAACGTAGTTTTGGTAGCCGATTAGCAATGGTTTTAAAGAAGCTGGAACCTTAGTTTTCCAACAGTCAATCTAACGATTAATCTGGCTGCCAATTCATCGAAAGCCATACTTTAAAGAAAGACTAAATTTTTTGTGAGCATTAAAAAGCCTGGGATTTAGGCGAAAATAGTGTAATTCCCAGAAATTCTCCCGCCCTACCCGGAAAAACACAGATTTGCATAAAGTGGACGTCAGATAGGCCAGTGAAAGGAAAATGGCCCGGCTTCAAAGTACAATTTTGGACGAGCTGAGATAAAAACTACATAACGTCGCTTTGCTGGCCGAACTGTCAAACAAAAAAGGCGACAACCAGGATTCAGGCGATTTGGTAGTTAAACCGACATATAAACTGTATGAAAATTGATTTTTCCGGCCAATACTGAACTACAAAAATGTCAATAGCTAGGGTATAGCCACTTTTTTCAGCTTGAAGCTCGTCGTGAGTGGATGAATAGAGGCGTTTGAAGAAGGACGACGAGGAGGGGCAACCGATCCACAGACTCACATAATTCAATCCAAGCGCATCTTTTTCGGATGGGGAAAAGGAGGGGAGAAGATGTGACCAATTGCCTTAAACGGATGGAAAGGGAAGGAAGGGGGATAGATGGCTCGAGGGTATTTTACGAAGAAGAAGAAGAAGATGGGCAGAAGACTCTCTAAAGACACAGACTCCCTCGCGCTCTAATCCAATTATACCAAGAAAGATGGGCCATCTGGCTGTCGTTCCAGCCATTCATCAGGGTAGATTAGGTTGGAAGAGTTTTTTTAGGGTTAGCCAGGGTTATGCGGTTTTTTTAAAATTTGGTTACTGGTATGCGTAGAATACATTAGTATAGCTTATAAAAATATTCATAAACTTTTGCGTTATGCAGTTTCTTGATAAATGCATCCTGGTATGCACCGAAGATTTTAATGAAGCTTATAAAATTTTTAGGTCATTTTGCGTTATGCAGTTTTTGAAAAATCGATACAGAGAGGCGTAACAGCAATTAAGTCAGTTTCTTAAATCTTTACTACGCTTCTGAGTTATGCAGTTTTTTAAAATGCTAACTGGTAAACAGAGAACCCATCGAACCGGCTAGCTAAATTCTGAGCCATTTTTTTGGCCCATTCAGCTTTATGCAGTTTTCAAAAACTGCATAACCCAAGAACCCAAAAATAGGCTGTTTTCGGTGGCAATTTGTTGCCTGCTGGCCCAGTCGACTCCCAGAAAATCGAGAATTGGTGTGTGAGACCCGGGGAAATAGCCCAAAGTGTCTCCCACGACACTTCGCAAGGGGCCCTCTGCTCCTTGAAAAGGGGCCATCCGTTCGATTTGGTGTGAATTATTGAGCAGGATCTAGAACGAGAGAGAGAGAGAGAGAGAGAGAGAGAGAGAGAGAGAGAGAGATAGGAGACGACTAATGGACACCATCCACCCCCTACAGGGATGGGGGTTTGGCAGGAGGGGTCTGAAATTGTGGAAACCGGAAGCGGCCCTCCTTCCGTCTTAAAAAGGGCCCAATGATGGAATTTGTTGTGGCAGATTTGGGGGATGATGGGTACTATGGCTTTTGCTGCATGTTGCAGCTGACAAATATCGGCAAAATGACAAATGTTTGAAAACCTCGCGTATCGACCCGGAGCATTTTTTCGGTTTCTAGTTTTCGTAATTTTTAACCATAATTTTAACTACAGTAGTCCGATTTTGCTTAGCTGACGACCGTATAGCATATTTTTAAGCCTTTTCTTACCAATACCTTTAAAACCGAACGTCGAATGCCTTAAGATCGTCCAGAACCCCCACCTCCAAACAAATCATTGTCGAACGTCCATGGATATTCTGCATTGACGAGTGGCTGGAGGAAGAGCAGGAGGTGTAGAAGACAGAAGATAGGGTACGATATCCGTACTGTCATCCACCGCATCTGAAATAGCACTATGACTCGAAAATAATTATATCGCAATAATCATAATGCAGCTAGAAGCCCAAAAATTCGTCAAGACGCCAAAAACTGTATAACTTCATAAAATAATTTTTTTGCTACAGTATCCTTTAAAATAGCATGTTCTATGGACAAATAAATGAAAAACCATAAACCCAAACTTTAAAACGTTTGTTTCTGCACCCAACTATACCCCAAATCGAAGACTTTTCGAGTAAAGACTTCCTAATCTA